ATACATTTACTGTAACTTCAGCCAGGCTGAAAAGTATCGTTCATTATACAGAGGACTTCGAATTCGTTATATAGAGGTCCGTTAAATCAAGGTTCCACTGTAGTGAGCGTGATATGTGTACGTGATATGTGAGCGTGATTGGTGATTTTCCGCCATTTCGTCCACATTGAGCCCGGCTCTCTTCGGGAGGATTATATTACAAGCTCTCCATGAGAGGATAATATTGTTACAACTAAATCCTCCACAAAATATGTTGGGCCTCATTTGTCGGGGGAAACTGACTGTCGAGCGCACCACGCTTGGCAAAAGGTACTAAGACTCTCGAGCTCTCTTTTCCTTCTTTCCTTAATTACTCGGTTCTTCAGTACACAATTCTACTTACATTCAAGTTTACTTCATTCTTTGTAAGTAAGCTCTAACGAACATGCTTATATTATTCAATTTTGATACATACACGTACGGAGGGATGACAGCTGGCTGACCTTAGGACATTAAACATTTGTTAGAACAATTTTGCGAGACTTTCGAAATGAACAACAAAGTGCTTTATATAACTTCCGATCAACTGAATCAACCTCTGATTGCATTAGCCGGCCAAACGGGAGCTTTTTGTAACAGTCCAAATCCAAGGTCAGAAGATAAACTTGGCACGTCCACTCATGGAACTTAGGCAATAATGTCACAGTTCAAAAACTTATCGCTACAGTTTAAACCTAAATAACTTCGGAATTCAAACTCATACAGTAACTAAAATCGTAATAAGAAACTGACCAACTGATTATTAAATAACTAAGTAACTTCCTAAAAATACTATGAAGCATGTTATGAGAATTTACACTCCGCTCTGTAACTCCCTTTATAATCAAGTAAATTAAGTCTAACCTTCAGATAGTGTTATTCGTGTTATTTTCTTTATCGGAGAGCGATTTCAGGCCACTTTGTCTCGTTTTAGTGGAGATCTCATCCCACGACAGACAGTAGTGGAAACTAAACTGAAGCAATTGCGTGACACCCGGTAGGTCGTAAGATGGCATGTTATCACGTATAAGACGTAAAGACAGTTTAAATTCTCAGTCTGGATTTTGTTCTTTGTCTGCAGTCGGAATTTTGTACCTATCCTGCATTTTGCACCCGCTTTACAGTCTGCAGTCTGCAGTTTGTACTGACCGATAGCCAAAATGTTAAATCTGACTATTTACCGAACATCACCCCCGCAGTTCAAAGTATTTCCAATTAGTTTCAAGAAGGACCGCTATACTATTTTCGTGAAACTTGATTGGGGCGATTCTGTAAAGATTTTTATAAAATATACCGATAAACTTCTCTCGTTGCATAACGTCTATTGTGAAATCGTCATCGCGTAATGGTCTCGACGTATTACAAAACTAGCCATAAATCGCTTGGAAATAACTCTTAAATAAGTGTTATCAGTTGTATTTATTTATGTAGAGCCTGTCTTCATACTTGTTGACATATTACATAAACAACTTGCGACGCTTGAGAATCTGTTTTTTTAACCGAGTTCTTGCTCTTTGAAACGATGGAATAAGCGATGAAAAACACGAGGAAACCCCTGAGTCAAGTGATACTTTGTTTTAAGCAAAATCCGAATGTTTTTGAACTGCCACTTTTCTCCTCGAGCTTCTTGGAGGTCTGTCGGGAACGGCAAGAGCACGGGAACTCCTGCACAAACTGGTGACATATATTCAGTTGAGCATCGCTCTTTAAGGGACCCATTCGTACCTACTCATCATCGCAGAAGAAAAGGTGCAGTTTTAAGCCAGTTCGTTCTCATAGATCATAACAAATAAGCAGTGTAGGTGTTAAATCACTTTAATATGTAACAGTATTGGACGGATATTGTTGATAAGAACGATGCAAGAGGGGAGTTTCAGTGAGGCCACGCGTGTTTCTTAAAATGGCCGATTAACAAAGATAACTTTACACATGATGCACGATCCTTCGCAGTAGATGGCGCTATTTATGCAATAGCGTAAATCAGACCTGAAAAAAATCAGGCCTGTACGGGATTCGAACCACTGACCTC